GGTTTCCCAACTTTTCTTCCACAGATACACTGGCTAGTGTATCTGAGGAAGAAGAGCTGTTACTATCCATGTATGATTTCTGCATAAATTAGTACCCTGAAAAATTAGGAATCTGAATCATATTGTTCTTAAGCTGAAGAAAAAGTAACATCAAGCATTTTATCAGATTCTTGGGACAGCATGTGCCTTTCCCATTCCAGTCATGAGCTAATAAATAAAGATACACTAGAATAAAGAGGATTATATGAGGCTCTTTCAATAAGCCATTAATTAAAATGAGCCAGGTAATTATTATTACTGTTTCTACTCCATTCTTAAGCCTTGAAGTCTCCAGGGAACATTAAGAGAGATTAAAAAAAAAACAGTCACTCTTCTTTCAGGCTTACAATCCACAAGACAAACACAAAAGTATAAAGAGAAGGTGAGCAAGGAGGAAAATGCTATCTGCAATATGAATCCCAAAAGTTAGAGTTGTTGAAATGACCATCTGAGATTGACAGAGTTCAAAAGGAGCTGGTTTCTCACTTGACCGCAGCTGGTCCATCTTTCTGTCTCCTGCTCAAAGTGACAGGAGGGGCTGTTAAATGCAGCATCCAAAGGATAATAGCAGGAACCTTCCCTTATGAACATTAGCCCCTATCCTTTTGGACACTAATAAAGTGTAAAATTTCACCTGCACCGTAATTTGAGATTTCCAACTTGCACAGGTGTTGCTATTACAAAAACAGAATTCCCCTTCTAAATAGTAGACTTATATTTACACAAGGATGTCTTGGAGCAAGCTTTTTAAAAATGAGCCATGCCTGTTTGAATGACTCAAGAGTCCTTGCTGCTGAGTAGCGGGGTGATGTGAAGGACCTTTGACTGAGACATCTGCCTGTCAAGTCACACAGCACTGAAATAAATGGACAGTGTGACCTGGTGTAAGAAGTAACTTGTGATATCTTGTTACTTCCAGTATTCCCAGGTGCAATAAGCTAATGAGAGTAAACTCTGCTAAACCCATGTGATATGACCATTCAGTCCCTGAACATCTCATTATTGCTGGGAACCACAGTGTGATGTTTCCCAGAGGCTTCGGCCATTACTTTTATCCCCCTCAGTCCTTTCACCAGGCATTACTCTATACTGCGCACTGAACTTGCATAGTATCTGGAATAGAGGCTAGGATGTTGCAACATGAACCAGAATCTAGGAGGTTGCAGAATCGCTACTGTTCATAAATTTATGGCAACCCTTTCCAGGCTTTTCTAAGTTGAGAGTACTCAGAGAAATGGTTTACCATTCTGTTTTTCTGGGGGTGCCCTGTGCAGCTTGCTATAATTTCAAGCTGTGGCATCTCTTATGCAGAGCTTGGAGAAGTTACTTCTGTGGAACTATTTCTATGAAAAATCTCTCAGTCACTGTAGCTATTGGCTCAGGGGGATGTGGGAGTTTTACAGGTTTACACCTCTCGTTGCGTGCTTTAGAACTCAGCTGGCCCGCTGCTCAGTCTTCTGTGAAAAATGCCACCCAGCTTACACATCTGTGCATGCTTGCTTATTCATGGATGTGTTATGGAGAGGTGAAAACACTAAGCAAAATGTTTGCTTTCACTAGTCCATATGGCACAGCCAGCCCTGTGCTGGGGAAAAAAAAATACTGTATATGTAGAGACAGGTGCTTAGCAAAAGCAGATTGTTCAGCTCAATGCTTTGCTGGCCTTACCTGCCTCTCGGGGATAGAACACCCTTGCTGAATCAAACCTCCAAGCCCTGGTTGCTTTTTATATCCTTTGTTTAAGTTCAATTGGCTCTTCAGGTTTAGATTCCTGCAGGGAGTTGACCTCCAAGAGAATAGCAAGACATCCTTGTCTACAGGGCAGTAAACATTTTGGAATGAAAATAGCCCCTCTATTCAAAGGCACTAAACTGTCTTTGATCCAGAGGCACCCTTCTCTTGAAATCATGATGCTTTCCCTCCTGCATACTGATACAATGGAAGCTCGGCCTTTTTGGAAATTAACTTCTACTCTGTGGGCCCTTCTGCTGAGCACTGAGATCATGCCTGAGTCAAAATAGGGAGCTCCCTGTATGTGTTCTTTATTCATGTTGGTAAGCAGTAGTGGGAAATATGGTAACATGTTTTACATCAAGAGTAAACAGTATTTTTAATGGCATTGTTATTTATAAAGCATTTATATAAAAGTGTAGAACCCTCATAATTCACAACACAGTCACCGATTGTATATTTTTTAACGGTTTTCTTTCAGTAAGCCCCCATTGCCACCCAAAGTACAAACTTAGTGTTCTTAAACAGAGCTTAGAAAAGTTATGTTTTGGGCTATAACTCCCAGCACTCCTCAAGTAATAGGGCCAGTGGCCTCAAGTAATAGGGCCAGTGGCCATGCTACATGTGAATTGGTTGAAGTTGCATAAAAGTAGCTTTTCCCAATGTTCCTATATACTCTAGAATTATAATTAGATGGGTTGTGACTCCCATCTAGTCCAAAACTTTATTTCAATCATGAATATTCTGATGATTGTACAGAAGACTTTTACAGCTAAAGCTAGCGTTAGCTCTACAAAGAGTACAACTGTTCATTTTGATGGGTCTACCTTAAGCAGAACTTGGATTTAAACACCACCACCCTGCTTTTTTTTTACTAGTTTATTGTCTTCATCGCCAACCAGAACTGGGATAAGATGGTTTTTGGACTGTAACTCCATTTGCCCTGCTGGCTGGGGTATTCTGTGACATATACCGTATTTTTCGCTCCATAAGACGCACCTTTCCATAAGACGCACCAATTTTTTAGGAGAAGAAAACAGGAAAATAGAATCTGTTTTCTTCGCTCCATAAGACACACAGACTTTCCACCCCCGTTTTGTGGGGGAAAAGTGTGTCTTATGGTGCGAAAAATACGGTAGTTTAAAGGGCATTGGTCCCAAGCTTTTGTCTCCTACCATATTCTGTAGCATTATTTTCAGGCTTACTTAGATGATATTGTACTTTGCATTTACCTACATAAGAATACCAGGCAACAAAAAAGAGCGACATTATACAAAAGTAAGGAGCTCTTTGACGTTTTTCCCTCATAAGGGATAATCTGAATATCCCATCTCTAGTAACTAACAGCATTGATTCAGTATCAGTGCTGTATCCTTTGAATGCCTGGTCCCCACAAACATCCCAGAATTTAGAAGGCTTTTTGTATATACTTTTTAAAATGTAATCATTGACATTACTTTTTACAGTGTTAAAACTGTAAACTTACCATGTTACTTCTTATGTTGCTGTTTACTTTTTATTTAATAAACACTTCAGGACTGGTAAGAGAAATGTCATTATCCTTGGAGAAAATACTTTCAAAGTTCCTCTTAAGTGCCTACTTCAAAGCTCTCAGATATCCTACAGACTTCATTCTGCAAATCTACATTAGTTGAAATTGACAAGCCATGTCCAAAGGCAGTTCCACACAGACCATATTATCTTAATATAGCTGTGGATAAAGCTGAGTTACATGTAAATGAAATAAGATTTGCTGTCTCTGTATAGGGCTGCAATAAGCTAACGAGTTTAAACTGGTAAAAAGTGCATCTAGCTACTGATGCTGCCTACATCTCTGTAAATAGCACTGAATCCTTGGTCAGTCAAACTGCAAACTTGATCTTTCAAAGACAGAGTGACCTTTTCTAAAAATGGTCACCAACCTCTGTCCCAGGAGGCAGACATCCCAACCCCTCTTATCACGATTAAGCTTCCATTTGGTTGCTTTCATTTGTCCTAAAACTGCCTTGAGGCACTTGTTCTGGCTTCCTACAGCCTCTCTGGGACTAGAAAGTGGAACAGAGAGAGAGAGAGAGATGCATGTCATTTGCACTCAGCTGATGCTTTAGCCTCAACCAATAGAGGACTTTTTCTAGCATTTTCCTGTAGATGTTAACAAGCAGGGGAGTTGAAATAAACCCTTAATGAACCTCAAAAGCAGCAATAAGGTCAAAATATGAAAGAGAGAAAAATGTTATGGAAAATGGGTTTATAGCACTTTTAAAGCAGCCCAACAAATGTCAGACCAAGCAATCTGTGGTATTCTTCAGAGGCAATAATTT